TACGGCTCGCTGTTTGTTTATCCATGAGACGACTTGTTAGGCGTTGATTAGAGTTACATTAATTACTCATTTTTCTTTGATGCGATGTCTCCTCGTTAATGGCTGATTAAACTGGGTGTACGTTACTGAAAGAAGGACAGAAGGGCCATTATGTTGAACAAAGGACAACCAAATAAAGGTGGGCATCATCCCCAGCAGCCCCTCTGTTCCCCGACGTGTCCACATGCCATTCCTATTAGTTTTCCATTTGGAATGAGAAAATTAACGACGAGGCTCGAGTCGTTATTAACATAACTAAGGAACAAGGCCCTCTGATGAGAATACCAATCAGGGCGAACGCACCCGCTGGGAAAATGAAGCCTGTGGTCCAGTAGAGGGAATGCAGTGACGATTCGGTTTCTATTTAGGGCTTTAAATCTGAATAATCACAGTATCTGTGAATTAATCATGATTAATCATGATCCTAGTAAGTCACGATAAATAACAACTAACTGTGATTAGTCAAATTGATAACAACTAATCGTGATTAATCATGATCATAAATAGTCATGACAAATCAACATTCCTTAATATTACAACAAAACAACAACATTTTCTTCTGTAAATTGCTGTGGCCTGTTGAACAACGTTCCTTCGTAATCGACTTGGTCCGTCAGCTCGTCAGCTGTAGACTTATTTACTGCCCTGCGCTCGGTGACACTGGTCTGACGCAGGCCTGACCTGAAGTCTGACCTCTGCAAACACATGCTGGGCGCTGACATGGTAATTTGTACTTCAAAATCCATCTGTTCGACCTCGACTCTTACCCACAGGGCGCGAACACAAGTATCATTCTAGACCAACGACAACTGGAGAGACGGTGGAACTATTGGATATACAGAGCACAGCCCTGGAATTAAAATGTGTCTTATTTAGGTCTGATTAATTTCACAAACAAAAAAAAACTGCCATTTACACTTCAACTCTTTTGTTCGTCAGCCCGAGTTTGAATATGTTAGCAGTGAACGAGAGCAGGGATTGGCTGAGGGCGAATCATGAGAGGAAACCCACACCCAGTCCTGGGAGATTTCTCTGGGAGAAAGCGACTGCTTTGTGAGGGTGATTTTTCACTGTTAGGCTGGTTATAAATTGTCAATCAATTTTTGTCAACTTCAGTGTGTTTCCTAACTCTTCATTCCTTCCTCCTCAAGGCGGTGAGTTGATATCTGGAACCTATACTGTGACAGAAGTCCTAGTTGCTTGGCAACAGGTATGAGTAGCCTGGTGTGACTGTGACGACCAGGGTGAGAGGAACAAACAAGTCTGTACAGGACACGGACACACACACACACACACACACACACACACACACGTATATATACCTCACATGTTTTCTTGCAGGAGAGGGGATTAGAGTGAACCCTCAGTAAACTCCTCGGGGCAGCGCTGACATTAAACAGCACAGGTGTTTGAGAGATCGATGTTGGTACCTTGGAGCAGCCGTTCCTCTGGACAACTGTGTGTCCTTCATAAATGAACAGCCCCACGTAGCACACATTCTTCATCAAACACAGCAGCAGAACACAGCCAGGCCGCCGTAGTGACCGCTGGGACTTCACAGAGTTGGGAGGAAAACAAAGACCCCCTCGCTGCTGCGGGGGTTCTAACGGCCGTCACAGCAGCTTTTGCTTCAGAGACAAACGCGTGTTACAGAACTGGTCCTAATCACAGGGACCACGGTCTCTTCCTGTTAGCGGTTTGAAGACCCTCGTTGGATCGACAGCGCAATTTTCCGATAAACAGCAGGTAACGGAGGACACCATGTCAACGTCAAGTATCACCTCTGACGCAGTTACATTTTTATGTATCTAATTAAAGAGAAACCATATGATTAATAATATTCACAATATTCACGGCCTTTGGACTAAATGGTTATTGATTACTTTAAATCTACTTCGACGTAGTTTTTTTGACCAGACCTGTGGTTCTTTGGTTCTTTCTGATTCAGTTCAACCTGAATTCACTTCAAGGTCAAGTGACTTGTCTTTGATTTTGAATCTCAGCTTTGGCTGGGATTAGATCAGATTAAACCATCAACCCAGATGAACTGAAGAACTTCTCCCTACTCTCATCTATTTTCACAATAATAATTGTTGTTCCTAAATTAATAACAAAACATACATAAATAAATTAGAATAAAATTAATTATTGAAATTATTATTATGTTAAATGTGTTGTTGTTTAATTTGTTGGTACAGAATAAGTGGACGACTAAATAAGAAGTAAAGTAAAATTATTATTATTATTAGTTCAGTAGTTTTAGTAGTAGCAATATTAACTGTAGTACAAAAAGTACTAGTTATTAAGGTAGTTTTATGTCTTCGGATTTAAGTTGTCTTTGTCGTTGTTGTTAATATTATTTTGTTTTTTTCACCTGATTCAAAGATGACAAACCTCTGTGTGGAGGCCGTCGTTCGCCCTTTTCAGATTCAATGATCAAATTTCCCAGACACACTTTCTAAATTTCGTGTCAATCAGTTTCGATATATACAGCACCACCTACTGCATGGCTGTGATGCAACTGAGAAAATCCAGACTGAACAGTTAAATGAAGGTGTGTGTGTGTGTGTGTGTGTGTGTTATTATGTGTGCTGTGTTCATGTGGCTCCACACAGAGGCAGATAACTCCATCGCTAATGTTATTTTTGGAGGCACGTCCTTTTTCTATTTTAAGTGCAACAGCACGAATGTTCTGTGTTGTGACAGGCACACAGGGGAAGCTGGTATTACACTGTGCACAGACCTGAACTTTAGGTTTCCAGGGATTACTATCTCTTCAGCGATGTTGTTGTTTTTAAAAGAAAAAAAAAAATCTAACAAATTATAATATGCATTTCCCTATTTATAAGGTCTCCTCATGTGTGTATTACGCAGAAACCTGGAGACCGGCAGAGATGCTGTTATTCACCTGGGGAATCCAGATTCCTCTAATCTCCTGCCCCACTTCCAGAATCCAGGTTTCTTGTTTACATGACATTCCATAAAGAAGCGTTCCTGGGAGTGTAACCCTTTTTACGTACATACATATATAGCACAAAAACAGAATGCTTTTACTACAGATGCTAACAGGTTTTTGTAACACTTTCAGACCAGACGAGTACTGTGTACTCTACGATCGCTGATATCCAATACTGCATTTTTTGGCATTCCTTCTTTCGTCATAATTTTTTCTGTGACATAAGACAATGACAACCTTGTCATCCATATGTCTCGCAGATCCAAAATCTTTTTTGCGTGCCGTCTTTGTTTGTTTTCTATTCTTAAAACAAAAACTTCTGATTTCTTTTTCTTTTTTTTTTGCCGTGCTTCACAGTAGCTTCACTCACAGACGACAGCTGCCGTATCCAAATCTGTGCCAATGACACGATGTAAACACATCAAACCGCAGCGTGCGAGTGGCGGTGAGGTTGAGACATGACATGATGTTGACACGGTGCATTATTATTATTATTATTAATATTAATATTATTCAGTCCTTCCTCCGTCTGCCGTCAGCAGCCCGTGTGCCAAGAATAGTGACACGAACCGGAGTCGGAGGAAACAGGGCCCCATGTTAGACTAGCACAGGGAACCGGCTGCGAACCAGAGGAGCTGCAGCTTCAAGAAGAAGTCACTGTGTCTCAGTCGAACTCAGAGTCAGAGTTGGACAAGAACAAAGACCATTTCAAAATCCCTGGAACGCCTGGGAGGATGTTTGTGTTTATATGACCTCCAACAGAAACAGATCCACCCTGCAGTGCTGCCAGGGCTTTGATTAAGAAGCTAAAAAAAAAATCCCTACTGTTTAATATAGCTGTTATCTATACCTGTCTGATGAGTTGGAGGAAAAGCGTTGGAGGAATTTCAAATGCTGTTACTTTGTCAGTTACAGTCAGTAGATGACCCCCCCCACCCCCCTTTTTAAATGTATTTCTCACATCATAACCTGCCGTGTATTTGACCTAGCTGCTGTTGTTACAGTATACATGAACAGATACAGCAGCTATTACAGCCATTTACGTGGATATAAGTTATACTTTTGCATATTTTTCATATTAATAATTTATTTATTTAGATTCGTCACAAACATATACAGACATGTTGTGAGTTGTATTTTTGCTTTAGAAATATGCATTAAAAACCTTTTCAATAATTATAAATTTTAATTTAATTCAATTAATCATGATTAATTGTGATTAATCGTGACTAATTGTGATAAAAGTGAATTATTATGAAGTAAAAATGTTTTATGAATTTCCCCACTGTGTGATGAACAAAGAATTTCTTATCTTTACCCACGAGTGACCTGTGATTAATAGTTAATGTTTATATTTTAAAGAATTCTGAACATGACATTTTATAGAAACACTATCTGTTTTTTTTTTCCACTTTTGATCACTGCGCTGTGTTTAATGTTTTTGCTCGTACAAATATCATTTTTTCCCCCGTCTGTGTACGTGTGAGTACGTGCCCGTGTCCATTATCCCACGGAAAAACCTGTCATTCTCACGTTTCTCCTTCCCAATTAGTCGTCAGGCTGTGAATGGGTGGCTCAAGATTGCAGATTGCCGCTGAATCACACCACATCAGTGTCATACATGTTTATGACACTGATGGCGGAGGCGGGGGACTGCAGCATAACAGCGAGAAAAACAAACAGGTCTCCAAGGTGATTGAAAGATTTCTGAGACTGAAACCAATGTGCTTATTATGAGACTGGCAAGCTAAATAGGCTGGAGGATGAGCCAAGAGCCCGATGGAGCACAATAATCACTGGAAAATTGCGAACCTTAGTTTCAGCACACTAACACTTTGCATAATGTCTCGCATCACATGTCGCGTCGGTGGCAAACATCCAAAACAGGTTAAAATAAGGCTGCTCTCAGCTGAAAAGACACAAGGCAGGAGGCCAGTGGAGACGGAGATGAAATATGAAGATGGAAATAGTCCATGTAGCTGTGTGTGTGTGTGTGTGTGTGTACCTGTGGCTGGGTCAACGGTTCGCTCAATTAAATGGTCATCCTGATGAACCCACTCCCCGTTGCACTTGAAGTAGATCTGTGTGGCCGGGGTGGAGCGGCAGGTCAGTGTCACCGGCTTGTTCTTAACAATGTACTCGTCCTCTGGCTCCACCAGGAAGTGAGGTAACAGGTCCGAGAACGCAGCAGGTAGTGCTGCTGTGGCCGTGTGCTCAGAGCCTGGAGAGAATAAAAGAGATTTTTATTAAATCACAGTTTGGATCAAATATTAATTTGATAGAAGTTGGTGCAGACCATCATCTAAATGAATGTGCTGCAGGATTTTTAAAAGAAGCAAAAAGAAGAAGCAGAGCTCATTCTTGGCACAGGCCATGTAGGCAGTTGCCTAGAGCGCCACCTGGTGGAAGGATGGGGCAAAAATTGTAAAAATTTGAACCCTTTCTTGAAAAAAAACTTGAAAATAATATCAACTCTTAGGTTGTTAGTCATCATGTGCGCTGCTCTGCACCATTTGAGTCAGTATTGCTGTTGTTATTAACACAGTTACAGTTTCGTATTTGTACGGCACCGTATCGTGTCGTATTGCATCGTATCGTATCACCCCGGCTCATCGCATCGTACACTCTGCAGCAGACATCTGGTGTCTGCTGCAAAGTCAATGTCCTTGTTGAGTTTCAGCTTCTTCATTTCATTACATATGCTAATGAGAGTCGGATAAAGAAAGACAGATGGACAGAGAGAGGGAGAAAGAAAGAGAGAGAGAGAGAGTGTGAGAGAGACAGACGGAGCTGTACGGTGCAGAGCTGGCAGCCATCAACAGTGAGGTCCATGTTTTTACTCTCGCTCTTAATCACAGCTCTTTAACATCAATGCTGATGGACTTGCAGCCATAAATTCCATCTCAGCGTCTGCAGTCCCCTACACGCTGTGTTAAATGCCTCCACCGCCTGGACTCCAACTCTAACAGCATTAAGCCAAAGAGAGAGAGAGAGAGAGAGAGGAAGTAGAGATGATCGACATCCTCACAGAAGGTCAAACCCAAAACCATCTCACTCTCAGACCATACAGTCTAACTAAATCTCTCCGGACACAGTGTTTATTGGTTGAGGACGGAGAGCAGACACACTTTTGTGCTGATGCATTTGTCACCTGTACACTTTTAAGGTTTTCTTTTCTCCACTCTTCACTCTTGCTTTATGACACAGCCTACTCACTTCCACTGCAAACAGTTTTCAGAACATTTTAGCCTTGTGCGAGGAAAAGTGCGAGGACAGAGAAGAGAGCAAAGAAAAACAGCCAAACAACCTTTTTACACCACCGGCACTCAGAGGGGAGAACCGGTAAATCCCAAAATAAAACCTCTTTAAAAGGAGAGTAATATTAATTTACTGCACCGGATCCACTATGACTGACAGACCAGGCATTAAAAGACTTCTCTGTCACTCCGTCTGCAGCAGGAGAGGACGGGAGTCCACATCGCTCTTAATGAAACGGCAACACTGGCTCTGACCTTTCTCTCCTGCAGCTGCCTCTCCTCCATCACCCCGGCCTTTGTTCGTCCTCTCATCCTGCTCATGTCCAGGTCAGGGATTATATTGCATTGTGTTACAAACGTCATCCGTTGAATACAGACGTTATCTGTCGATTCCTCCCCCACCGTTCACTATAAAAATATTTCTCTCTTTTTTCCCCCTTTTTTTCCACGGCTGCTAATTCATCAGGATGACGTACAGTGATGCACATGACTGCTGCCTTCCCTCAACCCCATTAATGTTTTGCGTACATGTTTAACTCTTAATGAAAACTAAATGTTCTGTGTCCAATGAACGACATACATCACCCGCTGACACGTCCCCCCCCCCCAATACTCCCTCTATTTTCCAAGAACACTTTATTATTGTAATACATTTCTCCAGAAGAAAATGTCATTAACGCGGCAGCTCCCAATTCAGGACAAAGCAGCGGCCGACGTTATTTACTGTGTCGGTAAAAAAGCATTTTCCCAATCCCTCTCTGTTGTGGGGAAGGCCACGGTTCATCATGAAAAGTGAGTTTAATTGCTCTAACGAAGAGAGCAAACTTTGCTAATAAACAGTGTGGGACCAATAGGTCAGGATATTTGAGACTAAGCATGTTGGTCCTAATGATGGCAGCTCCCTCAAATAGGCCGGCCTCCAGCTCCGTGACCGCGGTTATTAACTGGCCGTGCTGACCCGCCGTTATCCCCGCAGGTTGAAGAGGACGGTTCGGTAAAAGCAGTGGGCGAGACTCACCCCACACCTGCCAGGTTAATCATCTCTGAGAGAACGGGAAACGTTGAAACCGAGAGCCAAGCCCGGGCCACCCGAGACACCTGACGAGTTCCGAGAACCGTTCCGATGAACTCTTGATGTCGTTAACTTTGCCGCCGGCTCCTCATTTGCACGGGTCACATTCAAAGCCTGACCTTAACTTTTTGACGATGTTTCCAATTTGTGTTTGTGCGCGTGTGTACAC